TTTTTTTTTTGAAAATTTATTTAAATTAATACCCGTTTTAGATTAGTAATTCGTAAATTTTGAGTTTTATTCTTAATTTAATTTATTTATACATAATAAATTTTATATACTTTTATTTAGAAAATAATTTAACAAAATATGTGTTTTAAATTAAAATAGGAAGAAAATAATAATAATAATAAAAAAATGGAACTTAATTCTTGTAACGTAACATGATGGTGGTTATAACTTCCTATTAAAAAAATTGAAAAAAAACAAAAATAAAAACGACGGGGTTGCGGTTTGAACAAGGGACCTTGACCGACACGTGTCATGTAGATTATTGTTATTAAGAAGGTTACGCAGAGTGTGGCCGCGCCAGATATAGCCACCGTAGCGCTGACGTGGCGGTCCTACTAAGATGGAGGAACCCAAATGTTGACACGTCACTCCCGGTCTTGATCGAACCGCTTCCGCGTCCTTTGTGTTTTATTACATTTTACGTAACTACGTGCATCTTAAATTACAGTTTTGCCCTCATATTTTTGGTCTTATCATAGTTTAATAATTTGTTCTTTTGTGGTTTTCATAAGTATATTTAAATATCTCCATTTTTTTAATAAAAAAACTTATTAATTAGAATTTATAAGAATAAAAAAAATTAAATTTTCAGGAAATATTGGCTTTAAATTATTTTTAAAGTTTTTTTTTTTTAAAAAAAATTAACAAAATTATTACATATATATTAGAATTTAATAATTTATAATAAAAATGGTTGTCAATATTATAATTGAGAAAATTAAAATTTTCGTACAAGCTAATTTGATTAGAAATAAAATTAAACTAAAAATATATAACAAATTAGATCTTAGTATTAAATTATTAATAAAAAAAAACATTAAACTATAATAAAATTAAATTATAATTACAAACACTAATCTAGATCAATTTATAAACTAATATGACTTAGAAAATAAATCAAAAATCAAATAATTCGATTTAAATTATAATTCTGAAAAGTATAGATAAGAACGAAACATACACTTTTGAGTATATCTATCCGCCTCCGTTTTGGTGTCTCTCCTTGACTCGGATCCAATTCATTTGGTATTCCAACGCAGATCATTTTCACCATACCATTTATTCTATTTTTAAATAATTATTATTTTACCATTTTACCCTTTACCACGTCAGCTCGACCACCTAATATCCGTTTTTTGTTTATCAAATTAATTAATTTCTCCCAAAAAGAAAATGGAAAATTCATACCATCGAGCACTATATATAGTGATCATCAGCTGAGCTTCAGGGAAGACAAGTCGTGGACTACTACCGATCAGAGCTTCTAGATTTCCATCTCTGCATTTGCTTCTTTTTACTCTTTTCACTTCAACAATGCAGCGTGTTTTCTCTTTCGGCAAAGGCAGGAGTGATGGCCACAAGGGGATGAAGGGCTTGGTAAGCATGTCAATTTCTTCGTCGATATATATATATATATATATATGGGTCTATACATATGTTTATGTGTTTGTACAGTTGGGAGGAAAAGGAGCGAACTTGGCGGAGATGGCGTGCATCGGATTGTCAGTTCCCCCGGGTCTGACAATATCGACGGAAGCCTGTCAGGAGTACCAGCAGATCGGAAAGAGGCTGCCGGAAGGGCTGTGGGAGGAGGCTTTGGAAGCTTTGAAAATGGTGGAGAAGGAGATGGGAGCTACTCTTGGAGATCCCTCGAAACCACTTTTGCTCTCTGTTCGCTCCGGCGCCGCCGTAAGTCTTTTCTGATAAACTTAATTTTTAACTCGGTCTGCCGCCGTAAATCTTGATTTTTGACTTTGACCTCGTTGTGCCACGTGTCAGATATCGATGCCTGGTATGATGGACACTGTGCTTAATATCGGATTGAATGACGATGTGGTGGCAGGGTTGGCGGCGAAGAGCGGCGAGCGTTTTGCCTATGACTCCTACAGACGTTTTCTCGACATGTTTGGCGATGTTGTCAGTATATATATTAACTAATATATTTAAATTTTTTACTTCAAAAAATTAATCTTATAGTTCTTTTCGACTTAGATTTAATTTGTGTAAAAGAAAAAGTTGGGTCTTAATAAGTCAAATTTAAACTCTGTAATCTAATTAATGCAAACCATAAAGAACTATGTTAGATAAATTAACGTTTCTTGTCGTTTTTGATTTGCTGCATGTTTATGTTTCCGCACGTGCTTGAGCAAGTTTGATAAACATGATGAAGATCTTGACTTTTGGACACGTCCATAGTATTTAAGCATCTGATATTATTGTATACTGCGCAGGAACTCTGTTTCATGTTTTTAATGGTTTCTGGGTTTAATTGTAGGTGATGGGGATTCCGCGTTTATTATTTGAAGAGAAGTTGGAGAAGATGAAGGAAGCAAAAGGGTTTAAACTTGACACAGAGCTGAAAGCTTCTGATCTCAAGGAGTTAGTTGAGCAGTATAAGAAAGTCTACCTTGAGGCTAAGGGCGAAGCTTTTCCTTCTGGTCAGAATTTAACATTTTAAATTCTGATGTGTTAATTAGAAAAAAATTACAGAAAAATAAAATTGAAAATATATGAATTAATTACAGATCCAAAGCAGCAGCTGTTTTTAGCCGTGAAAGCAGTTTTTGATTCATGGGACAGCCCCAGAGCCATCAAGTACCGAAGCATAAACCAGATAACTGGGTTGAAAGGAACTGCAGTCAACATTCAGTGCATGGTGTTTGGAAACATGGGAGAAACTTCCGGCACCGGCGTTCTCTTCACTAGAAACCCAAGCACCGGCGAAAAGAAGCTTTATGGAGAGTTTCTAGTCAATGCTCAGGTCAAATTTATAAATTTTTTTGGTTTATATGTAGTGACATGGTTGGATACACACACATGTATATATACAGAAAAAGAAGTTGAGTAGTGGGTTTTGAACAGGGAGAAGATGTGGTTGCTGGAATCAGGACACCTCAAGATCTGGACACGATGAAACGATGCATGCCGGAGGCTTACAAGGAACTTGTTGAGAACTGTGAAATCTTGGAGCGACATTACAAAGATATGATGGTAGAGTTTTCTTTTTCTTCCTCTGTTTTTCTTTTCCCCCTTCTGGGTATCTCGGAGGCCAAACATCAATAATGAGAAACTCTTTGTGTGATGAATGCAGGACATTGAATTCACAGTTCAAGAAAACAGGCTTTGGATGTTGCAGTGCCGAACCGGAAAGCGAACGGGTAAAGGTGCAGTGAAAATGGCCGTAGACATGGTGAATGAAGGACTTATTGACACTCGCACAGCCATCACAAGGGTGGAGCCGCAGCACCTGGACCAACTTCTCCACCCACAGGTATCTACACATACATATATAAATGCATACATACATAAATACAGACATAAAAATGTGTATATAAATATATATTTTGCAGAGACTGATTGGTGTTTTGTGTTGTTTCAGTTTGAGAACCCGTCGGCTTATAAAGACAAAGTGGTGGCAACAGGGTTGCCGGCGTCGCCTGGTGCTGCGGTGGGTCAGGTTGTGTTCAGCGCGGATGATGCAGAAGGGGGGCACGCACAGGGGAAAAGTGTGATATTGGTGCGGACAGAGACGAGTCCAGAAGATGTCGGCGGCATGCACGCGGCTGCCGGGATCTTGACTGCTCGTGGCGGCATGACATCTCACGCCGCCGTTGTTGCTCGCGGCTGGGGAAAATGTTGCGTTGCTGGCTGCTCCGATATTCGTGTCAATGACAAAGAAAAGGTCAAATTTTTTTTTTTAAATAACAATTTATTTTTCATCAATTTTTTCAAATACTGTAAGACATAAGTAATCATATGACCAATTGATTTATGCTGTGAATGCAGACTGTTACAATTGGGGGTTTGGTTATTAAGGAAGGAGATTGGATTTCACTGAATGGGAGCACAGGTGAAGTGATATTAGGAAAACAGCCATTGTCTCCTCCAGCTCTGAGTGGTGATCTGGAAACATTCATGTCTTGGGCTGACAAAGTTAGGCGTCTCAAGGTAAATTCTATATTTGTTGTACTCCTGTCTCGTTTAATTCTAATTCGAACTTACAACTTCTTGCGAGTGAGAAACATATTAACCATCCAGTTAAGGAAATAGCTAGTTCTCTCTTTTAATTTTGACTTGCTTTGGTCGACATTGATAACATTACGATTCTGTAATAGGTGATGGCAAATGCGGATACCCCTGCGGATGCATTGACAGCCAGAAACAATGGTGCTCAAGGAATTGGCCTTTGTAGGACAGAGCATATGGTACATTATTTATATGTATTTACATCTTTCCTCATTTTAGCTTAAGTTACTCGACATTTTGGTTTGATCATATTGTGCTTGGTTTAGTTCTTTGCTTCGGATGAGAGGATAAAGGCAGTGAGAAAGATGATAATGGCAGTCACACCCGAACAAAGGAAGGTTGCTTTAGACCTCTTGCTTCCTTACCAAAGATCTGACTTCGAGGGAATTTTCCGTGCAATGGATGGTAATTTTACCTTAAAACCTCTTCTTCAACTACATATTATGTGATTCTATTTGTGTTTCATTTCACATTTTCTATTTGTTTATTTCTCTGATTAACACAAAGAAACGACTTCAGGTCTCCCAGTGACAATACGATTGTTGGATCCTCCACTTCACGAATTTCTTCCGGAAGGCGAGCTGGATTACATCGTAAATGAATTAGCTGCAGAAACAGGCATGACTGGAGATGAAATTATCTCAAGAATTGAGAAGTTATCGGAAGTGAATCCTATGCTTGGTTTCCGAGGCTGCAGGTCTAACATTCCTTCTTATCACAATCTTTTTCCCCATTGCTTCATATTCTTTTAACTCATATAGATTTGATCATGTTTGGACAGGTTAGGGATATCATATCCGGAACTGACAGAGATGCAAGCCCGTGCAATCTTTCAAGCTGCGGTTTCCGTCACCAACCATGGTGGCAAAGTTCTACCAGAGATCATGGTTCCTCTCGTTGGTACTCCTCAGGTATCCTACCTTTTCTTGTATTTTTATAATTAAGAAAGTATTAATCTTAAATAGATCGAACAAATATGAAAATTTTAAAATCAACATGATTTTCGATTAATTATATTGTTTACTTGATCTAATATTTAATACACTTGTAAATGCAGGAATTGCGACATCAAGTCGAATTAATACGTAATGTTGCGAAGCAAGTGTTCGCCGAGACCAGCACCACCGTGACCTATAAGGTTGGCACCATGATTGAAGTCCCTAGAGCTGCTCTGATTGCAGATGAGGTATGAATGATGAAGATAAATAAAGATTCATTCTTTAAAATTTCATTTCCTGCCCAAACAATTTTGCATTTGTTGATTTTTTTTTTCTTTTTCTTTCAGATAGCAAAGGAAGCAGATTTCTTCTCCTTTGGTACCAATGATCTGACCCAAATGACATTTGGGTACAGCAGAGATGATGTTGCCAAATTCTTGCCTATTTATATCTCTAAAGGCATTTTGCAGAATGATCCATTTGAGGTTATTCATCATTTTAACTCAATATATTTTCAAATTTGTTCTCTCATTAATTTAAAATCTGATCAAATTAATGAAATTCATTCATTCATTTTCAGTTTCTTGATCAGCAAGGTGTCGGCCAACTCGTTAAAGTTGCTACCGAAAAAGGCCGTGGAGCTAAACCTAGCTTGAAGGTAAATGTGACATAAATTAAGACATGTAACTCAAAGCTTTCAAAAAAGAGGATCGAATTAAGTGGAATTTTGATGATTAAACAGGTCGGGATATGTGGAGAGCATGGTGGAGAGCCGTCTTCGGTTGCCTTCTTCCATGAAGTTGGACTTGATTATGTTTCATGTTCACCCTTTAGGGTTCCAATTGCAAGGTTAGCAGCAGCTCAGGTTGCAGTGTAGGAGAAGTTGGAATGGCATGGGATTTGAAGTAGACGACTAAGTGAAGTGTTCTTGGTTATCAATGAAGCCCTTGTGAATAAAATCTTTTTCTTCCAAATATTTACAGTTCCTAACTAGGGCTATATACACACAGCTCTATGATTGTAACAAAGAAGCTATTTCTGATTTTCCCATGTTGTACATATAAAAATTCCATAGAAAAAAATGAAAAAGATTAGACTTTGAAGTAATGGTGCAGCAGTAGGCTTTTACATACTAACTTTTTCTGTTTTCCCCATGTTCTTCATTTTTACCATTTCTATTCATTACCCATAAAGTGTTGATTGTGGTTATACGTATATATATGTTTGTATATTAAATGGGGTTAATTAT